CCATAAACATGGGGGCTGGCAAGTTCAAACCTGGCCCAGGCCTGCTAAACAACAATGACAACAAAAAATAGCTGGACGTTGTGGCGGGCACCTCTAGTCCCACCTCCTTGGGAGGCTGAGGCAAGAGAATTGCTTAAGCCCAAGAGTTTGAGGTTACTGTAAGCTTTGATGCTACAGCACTCTACCGAGGGCAACATAGTAAAATTCTGTCTCAAAAAAAAAAAAAAAAAAGGAATGTTTTTAAAGCTTTCTATGTAAAGTTCAGTTCCAGTGTATCCCTTGGGGACGGGAGGCACAATTTTAAAGGTTTGAAGACCTTAGGCAAAATAGAGAGGCTGCTTCTATAACTCCTAAGAACCAGGAGCAGCCTGCAGAGTGACAGTACAATTGCCTGTAACCCTGAGCCACCCAGACCACACTCAGGGTCTCCACATACCCAGAACTTACCCACATATCCACCGGCTGCCTCTGGTTTGCCTGCTCCTGCATTTGTGAACATGGGCCCTGTGATTAGTGGTGTAGAAGGTATGCACACACATGCGGGTACCTGGTTGGGTGGGTGCCCCTGTGTGGGAAGAAGGTTGGCATGGATGAGGAAACTGGGCTTAGCAGTCCATGGGCTATCCCAGGCTAACCTACTTCTCTCCCTGCCAGGCTGTTCTTTGCTGGAGCCAGAGAAGGCCACCTTCCCAGCGTGCTGGCCATGATCCATGTAAAGCGCTGCACCCCAATCCCAGCCCTGCTTTTCACAGTAAGGACCCTTCCTGTGCCAACCCTACACACATCTTCCCTCTCTTTGTGCCTTCTCTAAACCAGGAGTTCACACTTTCTACACAAGTCCTTTTACTCTTCTGGTCTGTCCTGGGTCTCACTGAGTCCTAGAGAAGTTGGCAAATGATATTCATGAGCTTTAATAATATCAAGGAATACAGCAAGGAAAGACCCTTAGTCCTAAAATTCCTAAGGCACTCAGGCTAGCTCGTTTCCATTCTCCCATCCTTTTGGGTCATACTGAACTGACTGTCTCAGGATTATAACTAACAAAGAAACTCCTCCCGGGCTCACCTCACACCTGTCACCGCAGGGTTGCAACACTGGGCCTCTGCTCCTAACTGGTCCTGGCATACACGTGCCTTTCTGTTTCCTGCATCAGAGCACCCAGTATCTTGGGAAACATCATTGAAACAAATTCAATGTTAAGGATACATTAAATAAGGAAAATCATAAAGGCAAGAAGACTGGTAAACTGAAGAAGGAGGAAAAGAAACTTAGGATGGAAAGGAAATGGGGGTAAAATGTCCCCAGAGTAGAACCATTTGAGGGAGCCAAAGAAATGAACAAAGAATTGTCCTCGTTAAATCTTTTGTGTTACTTCTATTTTCCTTATAGATCCTGAATAAAACTTTAGAAATGACTTTGGTCTACCAGAGAATCAGCTAGAAATCAGGATAACAGAGCTCTTGGGAGTCGAGAGCATTGTATAACTAATTAGGAGGAATTTCAGAACGTTCAGATACAGGATGAAGGTCACCTTGATTGCTTAGTTGCAAAAGTGGCTAGAGAGACTCCCAGGTGGCTACACACTTTTTTTTTTCCCTCCAGTTTAAGCCATGGGTGCAGTATTGACTACAAAGCAAGTACTGCAAGATTCAGGCCTATTCACCCAGTAAAATCTTCCTGATTATCCTCACCACTAGACCTTACAGGAGACCTGAACTTTATATTGGCCTTCACAGATTATCAGAATGGAAAGAGCACAGTTCTAAGAGAGAGCCACAGAGATGATTTTGAAGTTGGGAAGTAGACTTTATCAAGAAAACCTCTTAGGGATGTGATAAGGGTTAAATGAATTAACATTTGTAGAATGCTAAAATTAGGACCTGGCGCATAGTAAGTGCTTTGTAACTGGTTATGAAATTAAGAGAGAATGAAAGGAAAGGAAGTAGGGGGAGGCGGAGGAGGAAGGAAATAAATTAAATGACTCAGCCAGGAGGAAAGGATAAGGGCAAGAATAAAGCATTAATCTGCAGTTAACAAACTTCCCTAGGGGATAAAAATTAGAAATTAGCTTGAGCTATATATAACCAAGAGAAAAATTTAAATGAGACCAAGACTGACACAGACCCAGGTAAACCATTGTGGCTGATTCATAGCTGGTGTCCGTTCTGATTGGTTAGTGCCCATGCGATACCAGTGGTTAAATATTTTATCACCCCTGTGGTAAGAAAGAACTTTCTAGCAATGAAGGTGTTAGTAACAGCCTGGGTTACTAGGAGAGGTTGTAAGTCTCTGTTTGGAGACATGGAATCCTCTGCCTAGAAGCTTGGGAACAGCCCCAGACCTGTGGACACCTCCAGTCTTTGAATACCTCTCTGATCACTGAAGAGCTCCTCCCTCTTCCCCAGTGCATCTCCACCCTGCTGATGCTGGTCACCAGTGACATATACACACTCATCAACTACGTGGGTTTCATCAACTACCTCTTCTATGGGGTCACAGTTGCTGGACAGATAGTCCTTCGCTGGAGGAAGCCTGACATCCCCCGCCCCATCAAGGTGAGAGAAGCTCCCTTCGGGATCCCCAGGTCATATTTTTATATCACCTCTGTTCTTAACTGCTGACCACAGATCATCATCTCCTCTGTGATGGTATCAGACCTTTTGAAAGCAAGGACCATGTGTGAATGGGACAGCATGTCCATTCTCCACAGGGGACAGGTTAGAGCGAATTGCATGTGGGGAATAAGATTAAATGTTACTTTCATCATGTCATTCCTTTGTTTTGTAACACTCTAGGTCTCAAACTCCAGCTGATTTTTCAATCCTGTTATTTTTCCAACACTTCCTACCTGCCCCTCCAGATACCTGGGTTCTCCATGTACTTCTTCCCTAGGGGATAAAAATTAGAAATTAGCTTGAGCTATAGCCAAGAGAAAAACTTAAATGACAGTAGGGCTGACACAGAGCCAGGTAAATCAGTGTGGCTGATTCATGGCCAGTGTCCATTCTGATTGGGTAGTGCCCATGCAGACTCTTTCCAGAATGAGTTTCCTCCTCCCATCAGCTTATCAAAATTTTAATCATTTTTTGAAATGGGCCTCAGTACCTCCTCTTCCCTAAAGCTTTCCAGTCTGCTTTTATAACCCTCCTTGATCCTCCCTTTGTAAAATCCTGGGGCCCTATAGCTGCTCACTAAACCTAATGATTGCTGCAAGAAATAACTTTGTGGTAGGAACGGATGGAATTCCTCAGAACAAGATATGCCAGAATGTTATAGGTTCTCCTACCAATTAGAAGAACAGAGTATAGCCTGGAGCTATTTGAACAATCCTATTTAAGAAACAGAAACTAGATGCTTCTAGAAGATTCTAATAAAAAAAAAATTCTTCTAGCTGAGATATCAGTCTCTCCAAATCTCTCAATTCCCCAATGGCATTTTCACTGCTACTTTTCTCCCACCCTTAGAAAACATGCTAGAGGGAAGAAGAGGTAGAATGACCCCATCTCCTCCTGATGTGCCTGCCTCTGAGAGGGGAGGACGAGGAGGAGGGCAGTTGAGTCTGGGCTGCCTCTGGAGTCCTGAAGAGGACACTCTTAGGAACTCCTCACATGTGGTCAGCAAGGAGAGGAACTGATGCTTCCTTCTGGACGCAAGTCAAAGCCCCAGCCTGCCTTATACTATATTGGGTTTCCTGATTTCTTAACTCTTGGCAGATTTTTCTCAGATTGCTTCAGAGAAACTATTTGGGGCTGATCTTAGGGTGAGGAATGGACACTTGCCATATTGTCCCCCAATGAAGCATGCCAATAAGTGGGCCGGAAGCAGGAAACATGCCTGACCTAGGTCACCTTCTTCTTGCCCCTCACCTCTCCCCCAGGGCCTCAACAAACATACATCAATGTGCCAGCAAGCTTCTCAGTCCCCATGGACACCTCTGGCTGCTGCGGGCATGTAGCACAGATGATGAGGCCTTGTCTGAGCCCACGCAGAAGGACATAGGCACTGAGAATCCTTCCCCCCCTTCTCCTCCCATCCTCTCCTGTCCCACTATCCAAGTCACCAGTATTTGTTGCCATAGGCCAGGTGCGGTGGCTCACACCTGTAATCCTAACTCTGGGAGGCTGAGGCAGGTGGATTGCTTGAGCTCAGGAGTTCAAGACCAGCTCTGAGCAAAAGCAAGACCCTGTCTCTACTAAAACTAGAAAAAAATGACCAGGCATGGGGCTACATGCCTGTAGTCCCAGCTACTTGGGAAGCTGAGGCAGGAGGATTGCTTGAGTCCAACAGTTTGAGGCTGCTATAAGCTAGCCTGATGCCACGGCACTATACCAAGGTGACAGAGTAAGACTCTGGCTCAAAAAAAAAAGTTGTGGGCGGCGCCTATGGCTTAAAGGAGTAGGGTGCTGGCCCCATATGCTGGAGGTGGCGGGTTCAAACCTAGCTCCAGCCAAAAACTGCCAAAAAAAAAAAAAACTGTTACCATAGCACCTGCCCAGTCAGAGCTCAGGGTATGGGAGCCATAGAGCTTAGTGAGGCCCATGAGGATGCTTCTTTGCAGATAAAGAAAAAGAGAGGGTGCCCCAACCTGGGGGCCCTGGGGACAACACAGCTCACAGTGCCTCTTCTCCACAGGTCAACTTACTGTTCCCCATCATCTACTTGCTGTTCTGGGCCTTCCTGCTGGTCTTCAGCCTGTGGTCAGAGCCAGTGGTGTGCGGCATTGGCCTAGCCATCATGCTGACAGGCGTGCCCGTCTATTTCCTGGGTGTTTACTGGCAACAAAAGCCCAAGTGTTTCAATGACTTCATTGGTGAGTTGTTGGAGGCTCCAGCATGGCTAGAGGCATGGAGTGGTCAGTGAGGGGGCAGGGGAGCCACCAGGATTGGGAGGCCTAAACTCATCTTCACCTGACTCCACACAGCTCTGGAGGAGTCAGGGTGGATGCCCTCCCAGAGATCTCTGAGGAGTTTCCCCACAGACCTTAGGCCTGTAGGCTAAGGCAACCTGGAATTGGGCTTGAAGGCACAGGGAAGCTGGAGGCCTGGGCCTTGATGAGCACAGGACAGCTGACAGGAGATGCAGGAGGCAGGCGAGGCATTGACTGCTGGGGCAAATCCTGAGTGGGAGAGGTGGGACAGGTCACAGCCTAGTTGGCCAAGCTGGCGGGATATTCAGCACTGTCATGGTTTCTATGTGATCTCCTTCTACAGAGTTGCTAACCCTGGTGAGCCAGAAGATGTGTGTGGTCGTGTACCCTGAGGTAAAGAAGGGCTCAGGGACAGAGGAGATAAGTGAGAACATGGAGGAACAGCAGCAACCCATCTACGAACCCACTGTCACGAAGGACAAGGACTTGGCAGAGCAGCCCCAGCCCTGAGGACCACTGTTCCTCAGTGGCTACTCCCCCTTTTGTCCCCTTCCTGCATTCCTTCCCTGCCTAGGTCCCTCCAACACACACACACACACACCTCTCTGCTTCTGTCAGACAGGGCGGGACCTCAGAGTGGGTGGTGAGAAATTGCAAACAAAGACAATGACATGTGTACCCAAAGAACCTGCCTCTCACCCCAGTGCTGCCCACACTCAGCTGTTAGAGAGGAACAGATGCCAGTGTGCCCTGCAGGGCCCTCCCTCTAGGCCACAGCCTCAGCTGCCTCTTTAGGAACCTGAGTTTACAACTGCCTTCCCTCCCATTCCTAAGCCAAGGGAGACCTCAATTTAGAGAGCAGTGGAAGCCACAGTGAGTTGGTCAAGGGGACAGATTCATGCAAATATGTCACCGGTGAAGGCTTGCTGGAGAGACCCCTCTTTGTTCAGAAGGAGCCCAAAGTCAGGGGGGATGCTGCCTCTGCCCTCTTCCCCTGCCCCCTGCCCCCTGCCATCCCTCCCTCCACCCAGCCTGGACTCCCAGGCTCCTTTCAGGGCTGGCTGAGCAAGGGACCAAGGAGAAGGAGAGCTGCCCTGACCCCTCCCCTCAAGCCAAGCCCATGGGACGGAATGAGAAAGGCTCAGATTCCAGAGACCCAGCCCCTGCCTCCTGCCTCCTACCTTCTGCTCCAACATGGTGCCAAAACTTCCGGAAGCCAGAAAGTCTTCTTATTCTTAATGTGGTGGACATCTCTCTCCTACTGACAAAGCAGCTCTGCAGCTCTGCTAGAGCAGTCACCCTGTCATCCCTGCAGCCATGCCCCAGCACACTCACCCCAAGCCAGTGCAGCTGGCCACCCCCACCACGCCCTCATCCTTCTCTTTGGACCTTGGCTCAGGGACCAAGTATGAAGGATCCCCAAGCTCTTCAGGCCTGAAATTAGAGCCTTAAGTAGACCCTGCCTCCATCCAAAAACTGGGCCTAAAAACACTCTCTATTTCTACCCCTCAGAATAGGCCTGATATTAAATACCTTCCCTGAGAGGAAAGGCGCTTTCCTGCCTCCCCAGAAGTGCCCATTCCATGTCCTCAGAGACTGGGTGGGGAGAGCCTGTTTTCTGAAGGCCAATTCCTCTCCCCTCCCCATACTTGGATAACCCTCACTCCCTCCTCTCTGGTCTCACCAGCATCCTGTCTTGGGATAGGATGGAAGAGCAGTGGCAGGACGGGACCCACTCTGAAGACCCTCAGAAAGCCCCCTGTGGTGTGCAGCCTTCTGACCTTCCTCAGTGCTCCAGAGGAAGGCCATGATGTTTCCCTGGGTCTTGTAGACTCCCCAGCCACACCTGCTATGCTAAGGACACAGAGCAGGATTCTCTCTGCATCCCCTCCCAATTCCATCTGCTTAAACTGGAATACCCAGGAGCCCCTCTTTGCCCGGGTCATCTCCCCAGCTCCCCGCCCAGCTTGTCTACCCTATAGTTGATGAGATGCCAGATTTGGTCTGAGTTATGGCCCTTTCCAAGTAGAACTTGGCAGGCTGGGGTTGGCCCCTAGAGGGTCAGGGGACCATCTTCCTGTTCCTTCTCATTCCCTCCAACTTCCTCACCTCCTTGAATTATTATTTTTTTGTAAAGTGGATGCCTTACTTTTTGGATAAATATTTTTGAAGCTAGTATTTCTTATTTCTTTCAGATTTTGTAATGTAAGGTTGTTGGGGGGGGGGTGGACTGAGTTAGAACCTTGATAATAATTTTCTGTCTTTAACTTGGTGTAGGTTTCAGAGTTCTTGTTTGTTTTGTGAAGAGTTTTTTTTTTTCTTTTGATGTAATAAAACTTTAAATGGAAATGAAGTTTGTGGTGTTGATAATTAAATCAACTTCTGAGACACGGCGCCAGGTATTTCCTGTCCCAGGAGGTCTTTGCTTGCCAGGTTGCTTCCAGGGTGCCATTCCCAAAAGCCCACGCTCTCCGTGGCTTCTAGCTATCCAGGGCCTCAGTGCCAGCACATTCAAAGAACTCTCTTTGAATCAAAGACATTGTCAAAAGCCAAAATCATTATAAATTTAAAGTTCTCAATTGGTTGTATTCACAATTCCAGAATCAAGCAACCCCTCATTCCATAAAGGAGAATAAGTGCTCCACTGCAGTGAACTAAGAAAAGGTTGGCTTTATAGAGAAGGGCTGAAGAAAGCAGATAACTTTTCTTTTCTTTTCTTTTCTTTTCTTTTTTTTTTTTTTTGAGACAAAGTCTCACTCTATCATCCTGGGTAGAGTGTCATGGGCATGGCATTGGCCTAGCTCCTAGCAACTTCAAACTGGACTCAAATGATCCTCTTACCTCAGCCTCCTAAGTAGCTGGGGCAGCAGGCGCCCTCTACCGCAACCCACTAATTTTTCTGGTTTTGTGTACAGATGGGATCTTGCTCTTGCTCAGGCTTGTCTAAGACTCCTGAGCTCAAGGGATCCTCACACCTTGGCCTCCCAGAGTGCTGGGATTATCGGCATGAGCCATGGGGCAGGGCCAAGATTACTTTTCAAAGTTAATTTTTCTCATAAGGAGGGGACTGAGAGACAGAACAATAGAAAAATAACTGATTAGTTAACATCAAGTTACTTCTGGCTATGTTTTTTGTGTAAGGATTAAAGAAGAGGGAACTTCATTGTCCTGCCAACTGAAGATGTTTAACTTGCTTGTTTGGGAAACTGGCTATAATCTGTAGCTTGATGGTCCAATAACTCAGTTTAGGTTTCTTGATGTGGAACTTTAGCATAGGTGACTTCATTTGGATTTGTGGTCTGATCTCTGGGGGTCTTGTGCAGGAGCTAGTCCAAGAACAATGGCTTCCTATAATTTAGCACTCTTTCATTCCTTCTGTGGTGTCAGGAAGTATGATAAGTTTCCTGCTCTGTGTACCATACTGACAGCCTGGAAACTAACCCACTACCCAAGGTGGGAACATGGAAAGAGAGATGCAACAAGCTGAGTCGAGGGAAGAAAGACAGGGATGGTCCTCCTGAAGCCTGATCAACAAAGGCTTTTCACACCAAGACAGCTCAGGCTGAGTCTGAAGGAACTCAGTCAGAGGGCCTTGATGAGAGGGCCTGGGAGGTAAAGCTGGCTTCACTCAACTTACAGAGACATCTGAGAGGAAGACTAGGAGGACAGCTGAACTAGCACCAGGGGAAAGGAGGAAGCAGGTGCGGTAGGTATAACACTTCCTGGTATTCTGGGTTAACTGCTAGAGGAAGTTGATGGAATTAGACTCAGTCCTTATTTCATGTTCCTACTTTTATGGGCAGCTGTCCCAGTGTCCTGTCCTGGAGCAACATCATTCCAGAGCCAACACTGCTGAAGAGGAGCCAGTTGTCAAGACATCCCCCTTCACCAGCTGGGACACTGTGAGGGAACAGGCAGGCAAGACACCTCCACTCCTAGTCTTGGCCTGGCCCCAACACACCTGCTTTATGACTGTCATTCTTCAGACAAGCTGGAAGCTCATCATTTCCAGGCGCAAACACTTGCCTCCTAGTTCCAGGCTAGCTGGTAAACAACTGTGTGTCTTGGGCAAGTCATCTCACCTATTTAGCATTTTGGTGGGGGAGGAGGACTTGGACATAATATCAAATGGTTCCTCCATCTTCCAACTTTAGGTTGTAACAAAAGGGCAGAGGCCAGTTTTGTGCAAGAGGCTGTTCTCCAAGCATCACTTCCACCCCTTGGAACCCCTCTTCCCAACATATATACCTTTCCTTTCCCTGCCTGCCCCAGGTCTCCTCTGCATTGTCCTATTAAGGCAGGTCCAGCCCCTGTCCCCTCTGACTCTACTGGAAACACTTGTCCCCAGGGGACCCCTCTCTCTCTGTAAAGTGATACCTGCTGATCTTTTCAACCTGGTCAAATGGGCAAACATGGGTTCCTCCTGGGCAGCATGCATTTATTTTTAACCTGGGCCTTTACCCTGTCCTGGCCCTATCAGCCACTTTGGTGCTAGGAATTTCACATGCTCTGACCTTGGAGAATTTGGGAACCTTTTGACGTCATTGAAGTCATAGCTGCGTACGCATTCATTTATTAATACAGTCACACAACAAGTGGTTTCTGTGACCATTGTCTCCAAAGACTTTGGTATCTACTGTGGGAATAGCAAATTTATTCCTGAATAGTCCAATTCAGCTTCTGACATCAAATATTTTGTTCCATTGTCCCCATAAAATTTTTCAGACATGTCAACCTACCTGTCCCTAATTTTTAATTCAGGAAATATGGTCACCATCATTGAAGAGGTCCAAAAGATGACTCTACCCTCAAAGAGCAAATAGTTTGCAAGGAAAGGTGCAAGTGTGCAGTTTGTGGCATCACTCACCACCAACGCCACATTGGAACCACCTGCCTCGGGACCTCCACTGCTGAACTGTGAGCTTCCACCGTCAGGGGCCGCACAAACATATCCCTAGAGCAGTGTTTTTCAACAGTTTTTATCTCATGGCACACTTGAACCTATAGTTAAACTTCTGCAGCACACAAATTACGTTGATCAAAGAAAAAAGTAAAAAAAAAGAACATACTGGCTCGGTGCCTGTGGCTCAAGCAGCTAAGGCACCAGCCACATACACTGGAGCTGGCGGGTT